GAGAGAGAGAGAGAGATCAAATTAATAAGTGGTTGTGCAGGTTGTGCTAGGTATTGAGAATCGACAAAAGTGTCCATTCCAATAACCAGGAAAGTATTATGGTAAAGCTTCAACAAATAATTATTGGGGGAGTTTTTTTTGGGAGGGGGGATTTGCTGGAGATGCTCTAAGCCCTAAGTATGTGTAGTAGGTCTATAAATACCAAGGGTGGTTCCCTTTTACTACGCCACATAAGTTGCTATTTCAACAACATGAAAAAAGAAAATAGCACCCTTATATCATCTGTCGTCCATCTTCTTTATTTTGTTCATTGTGATTTATCTACCTCGAAAACACGACAATTGCAAATTAATAAAGGAAAATAGTTACAATATCAGTCGAGAAAGGTTGATGAATAATCATCAAATTAAGTTGCCATGAGCAAGGTAATATATTATAGGACAGGGCGACTCGTCTCCCGAGCTTATCTGCTCCCTTGCGTGAACAGTAAACTCAAAATAAATCCTAGAAAAAATTCAAAAAAGTCTAAATTTATTTTGTCATGGAAGATGTTCATGCGTGATGTCCATGTCAAATTTGGTGGTGTTTGGACATCCGAGCAGCTCTCAAAAAATAAACAAATTTGGACCTATGAGAAAGTTTACTATTCACTCACTGTTCGGACATTTTTCTTTTTTTTAGCATCTTTGTTGAATTTACTGTTCACGGGAGCATATGAGTGTGGGCTCGGAAGTGAATATTCGGTGCCTATCTCATCTCAATCTCACTCTAGTGACGCCATCATAGGATCTTTCTTTTTACTGTTTTTTATTTCTTCTTTTACTTATTTTTCTTCACTTCTTCATTGTTTTTCTTTGAAAATACGCAAGTGTAGTTATGCGTAGCCGGCGAGCCTACAATTATATTTGTGCGCCCTGAGGAGAGATGTTTTTTTGGCCCGAGGAGAGATGTTATAGCTGCCTACACATAAGCTGATGGCGTGCAACCGTAGTTATGAAGCCGAAGAACGTGTGCAACTGTAGTTACACGTGAAAAAGACAGTACTCCCTTTGTTCCTAAATATAACTTTGTAGACATTTCACTATGGACAACATATAGATATATATAGATGCATTTTAGAGTGTAGATTTTACAAAGGCTTATATTTAGGAATGGAGGAAGTATTAAAAACAAGAAAAAAAACGTAAATCAATCAATCAAACGAGAAAGGAAACCAAGAATAAAACAATCCACATGAACCTCCGCGTGGAATCATACGATAGGGAGGTTGAGCGAGATTTCGTTAGGTCATACGAGAACCAGAGAAAATCCGTGTATCATATCCGTGGGCAATCCTGCGAGTGGTGAAAACGGCGAGGCGTCGCCGTCCAACCGACCCGGCCGGGCCACCAACCGATGTACTATAAACCCTTGTTAAACCTTCACTCGCACTCATCCTTTCCAAGGTGCGGCGTTGGTTGCATGTAGGACAGGGGGTAGCTAGGAAACCATTCTTGTTTTTCAGTAGATTACAAGGCAAGACAAGAGTAGACGATCCCCATCCATCGCCACCTGACCAACCGAATCACTCAGCATTCACCAAGTGAAAGCGACCATGGCCGGCACCGCCGCGTTGCGGTTACATGCGTGGCCCCGCGGCCAGCCGACACCAGCAACACCCGTCGCCGGTCGATCGATAGGCCCCTCCCAACCGATCCTCACTTCTTCTTACTCTTCTTCCTCCGCGGGCTTCTCCCTCTACCTCCTCACACGGATGCACCCCTACGGCAACGAAGCTAGCTTGCTACTTGTTGGCCTTGCCCAGCAGCTTCTCATCTTCTCCCCGGCTCGGCGTCTCCCTTTGGCCGTCGACGGCCGCCGCTAGCTGCTGCGACGGCTGTCCGGCCAGGTGTTCTATTCCATCTCGACGGCCCGCCGTCCGACGTCGGTGCGGGTTGATCGATAGATGGAGTACGTGGCCGTGCGGGCTCCGACTCCGATGAGCCGCAGGACTCGCCATGCTTACCAGCTCGCCGCCGACCCGACTGTTCCTCCTCCTCCGGTGAGTGCACACTGCACAGTACTGCTAGAATCAATGCACCCCGTTGCCATGTCAGTCAGGTGGTTTCCTTTCCGTTTTCGATCGAGAATTGGAGCAAGTTCCTCTTTTAATTCGGGCAGTGCGTAAATTTGGTTGGACCAGCCCGCGGCCCATGCGCGGCAAGGCGTAGATTAGCATGGGCCAGCCTGACTTATTGGCAATGGCCCGGTCCAGTCACGTACTTGCTGATGCTTTTGTTGCATGGACGATGATGGTTCAGTTGCAGACGACGACGACGACGACGACAGGCAACGGCGTGCAACAGCACAATCGGAGGCGCATGGATCTTGAGCACGAGGTGCATGCCCACCTAAGAATCGTCTTGTGCAATGCATCGGCATGAATAATTTTCGGTTTGGAGACTGAAAATGTGCGGGAATGGTGCAGGTGGCGGAGCTGAAGCAGCAGCTGAGCAACGAGGAGACGGTGCACCACATCCTGGAGCGCGCCCTGCACCCAACCACCACCGCCGCCTCCCCCTCCTCCGCGCGCTCCGTCCTCCTCAACATCCCGGCCTTCATCCCGGCGAAGGCCAAGCAGCTGCTCGCCGAGCTCGTGCTCGTGGAGGAAGAGATCGCGCGGCTCGAGTCGCAGATCCACACCATGAAGGGCGACCTAATCACCACCGCGCAGCAGCAACGGGCGTCCATGGCGACCACCGCCTATGCCTCCTCCTACTCGCCAAGTGTCTATACCAGCAATGGAAATGGCAACAGCAACGGTACGGCGGCATACGCGGCATTGACTCGTCAGCCGGCTGATCAGGTGGCGCCGGAGATCAAGTCCATGTTCTTCATCAGCCAGGCCATGAACGCCGAGTACCTCCAGCGCCATCTGGCCGCCGACGACAAGCCGGACAGGAGCCCCAGAGACCAGACCAGAGGATCAGGAGCCGGCGCCGTCAGCCCAAAGTTCAACGATGACAGCTTTGGCCCCCCGCCAAGGAATTCCCATGACAAGGTAACCACCAATCTGACATATATCTATGCAACACTGCTCAGTGAAAATCATGCTCTGTTTATGCTCTGTACGTTGCTCCTTCCAGAAGCAATCGAATGGCGCATACCAAAAACCTCCGCAGGTCACCCAAGAACCGTCACCGCCGCCGACGACGGCGAAGAGGGACGAGCAGAGCAAGGCCCTGCCGAACAAGCTGTCGGAGAGGATCGTGAAATGCCTGGCGGTGATCTTCATCAGGCTGCTCCGGTCGTCGCGGGCGGCGGAGATGGACAAGTCCGGCAACCTCGCCAGGTCCGGGAACCTGCAGGGGAGCTTCAGGATCGACGCGGCGCTGAACGTGGCGGCTGGCGCCGCAAAGGAGAAGGACAGGGGGCAGCAGGACCACTACGGCATCTTCGGGATACAGGACTCCATGGTCAGAGACATCGGCCCCTACAAGAATCTCGTCAGGTTCACCTCCAGCGCCTTCGACCTCCGAGGGTTCTCCGGCTCCCCTCTGCTCACCAAGCTGAGGTGAATAAGTAAATCCATTTGTTCATTTTTGACAGTTTCGATCATCTCTTGCTTTTTGTTAGAAGTACTAATTTCTTTGGTCGTGTTGTCTGGTGCTGCTAGGGAGATGTTGGAGGCCTTGCAGCAGGTGGACTTAAGGTTTCTGACGCACCAGCAGAAGCTAGCATTCTGGCTCAACATATACAACACATGCATCATGCACGTATGTACATTTTGAGAGATCTTCGGATGCATTTCTTTGAGCTAAAGATTTTTGGTATCCGCCGTTTGAGCTTCGTGTTTTGAATGAATGATCCAGGGGATTCTGCAGCATGGTTTGCCCTCGAACTCTGAAAAGCTGCTGGCATTGAAGAACAAGGTACAGTAGTTCGCTTAAAGAATTTATTTTGGTGTAAAGAAAGTTTAACATGTGTGGGTTGTTTCCTCCCTTTCAGGCAACGATCAATCTTTCTGGGCAAAAGTTCAATCCTCTGGTAATAGAGAATTTCATCTTGAGGCAGCCATCCAGTGTGAAAGAAGTGAGCATTTTGGTAGTTTTCTGTTTTTTGCTTTCAGTTGCACCTGCACAACAAGAATGTGTTGTTCTCATCAACAAACAAACACCGCAGGAATTCTGGAAATGCGACGTCGATGTCGAAGAGCAACAAGTGAGGAGTCTCTACGGATTGAACAGTTCAGAGCCCAACATTCTGTTCGGGATGTGCTGTGGCATCAGATCTTCTCCGGCAGTAAGTTCATCCACTCCTAACACAACTAATAAATCAATTATGTTTTTTTAGTAATATAAATGAATTATGAAGGAAAGAGAAATACTTGAAATCTCCATTGAATCTTTTTTTTTTTTTTTTTGCGGGGAAAAATCTCCATTGAATCTAACATGAGCGGAGTGAATCTGGTGCTGCACATGCATATTAATTTTGAGTTCCATGCAGCTCCGGATATACAAGGCGGATCGCGTGATGGCGGAACTGGAGAAGGCGAAGCTGGACTACCTGCAGGCGTCGCTGGTGGTGACCTCGACGAGGAGGCTGATGATCCCAAGCCTGATACACTCCAACATGCATGACTTTGCCAAGGACATGGAGTCCCTGCTCAGGTGGATCTGTGAGCAGCTCCCCACATCTTGGTCGCTCAGAAAATCCATGGTGGACTGCTTGAGGGGGCATCTCAAGGTCGAAGACGTCGTGGAGGTGATCCCATACGACTATGAGTTTCAGTACCTGCTGCCCAAGTGAACAGTTACGCTATTTGTTTTAAGTTAAGTGTACTACTACACAAATGGCGTACAGTACATATTTCCATGTATATTGTTGTCTTAGAGGTACAAATAGTGGTTTGATATGTGCAAATTTTTTGGGTCAAAAGCTTTATTTTTTGGATATCATATTAGTACAGTTTTTCGATAAAGTTTGTTTTTTCTAACTCAAAATATCTAGCGGATAAAAAACATGATGAGCAACACCCGGGTCCTACATAATTAAGATGGACACAACCAAATACCAACTGTGTGACAAAAGAAAGGATAAAAATTGACATATCGGCGGCAATAAAGTCATACAAGACCGACACGGAGAACTTCCCCTTCGCTCACGCTGCCTCTAGGGGGCCGGCTCGGGCGAACCCTAGCCGCCGCCCTCGACCCATCTTCCTCGCCCATCTCCTGCCGCCGCCGGAGGAAGCCGGCGAGCAAAGCTCGTCCGGTGGATGGCGGTGGCGGGCTCGCCTCGCCTCTTTTTTCGGGAAACCTCCGACTAGTGCACACTGGTGACCCTGGGTGCCATGCACGTCAGCAGAGCCAGGAAGCTGGGGCGGCGGCCCCAGGAGCTATCGGCGGTTGTTGCGCTGCCACGGCTACAGGGGTAGCGTGGTGGGCAGCCGTGGCTCCCGGTCGTGACGGATCGGGGCGTCCCCTTCCCAGATCCATTCCGCTAGGGGCGGTGGCGGTTCGGGCCCTCGCCGGCAGCCCTGTGCATGGGGGTTGCGCTCCGGAGTTGCTCTCCCTTCCTCTCCGTCGTGGTGAGGGAGGTCATGGTGTTGTTAGCGTGGTGGTCTGCAAGGATCTGTGCTGTGGTTGCGTGGTGGTTTGCGGGGAGGTCATGGTGTGGTGGTCTGGGTTAGGCCCAGAGTCGTGGCTGGCAGTGTCAAGGTCGGGTCTTCCCGACTATCGGCGCATGCGGTGGTGGGAGCCTGGTGGGCTCTGGCCTGTGGTGGCTCCCGGATCCCAGGGCGGTGGCTCTGGGTTGCGGTACATCTGGTCAGTCAGGCGTTGACGACCGGCCGTGGCCATCATTGGTGAAGGAGAGGCTGGCGGCGCCCGGTGTCGCCTACCTTCGTTGATGATGGGCGTGGCTTTCCTTCCTGCAGTGGTGCACCCAGCCGACGGCTTGTTCTCTCGTCTCCGCTCTGGTGGTCTCATGGCCGGGGCGAAATTTCCACATGGCTGGCAGCTCGTAGCGACGACGCATGCGGGTGCTGTTTCCTCCTTGGGAGTTCCGTTTTGATCTTGATCTTGTCTTTTCTCGAGTGCCGGGGGCAACCCTTGTTCTGGTTCGCTGGAACAAGCAGCGGTGGTGTCACGACGTCATGTCCTTCATCAAGGCGTCGCCTTAGCTTCTCACAGAGTCAACGGAGTTGGAGCTTGGGGTGTCTTGGTTTTCGGTCTAGGTTTCCCTTCAGGGCATGGACCTCTAGGGCGTTAAGTATGCCATCGCCAACACTCCTGGCATGTCTTTGTCCTCTGGTTTGGCTAGGTCCTGCCACCCACTTGCCAAGTTGTCTAGGCGATTTGGATGGGGAGGTATGTTGACAAAGTTAGCCCTATGTTGATTGTCATGACTAGGTTGTGTAGTGCAAACAAGACCATTGCTTGCTCCCAAAATAAACAGCACCTGCACACAAACAAGACAATTGCTTGCCCCCAATGTAAAAAGGAGGTTGTCAATCGCTTTATCTTGCGAGTTACAAGATTAAAAGCAAATAGTGATGAATAGTATAATATAGAATAGCGAAATAAAAGTAATAACAACAATTTTTATGTAAGTAATATCTAATGAAGAATAAACCTGGGGTCATAGGTTCATTAGGCTGCTCGTAAGTATCATATAGTAGTATTTTAGATGACCTTATTTATGGGTTGTTTGTACCCGTGTTCGTCCTATTTTTCGCAAATTAACTGGACACCTTTCTTCTTCTTAATTAATCAACGAGTCCAATCTTTTGCCTTCATTTTAAAAAACTGTGGCAGGGTTTAACCGAAGGGTGTGGTTAGATCTCGTCGCCTGAGATTTAATCAAGTCTCAGTCAAATGACATTACATGCAAGAGAGAAAAGGAAAAAAACTGAAAAGAAAATTTTGTTAGACTTATCAAGACTGTTAATCGAATGGTTTATAGGTGGCAGGGATTAAACCCACCGGGGTCAACTCAATCCCTGTAGGATCTAATCCTCTACAACCGAACAGGGCCTAACATGTTGCCAGCAGTATTTCCGTTTGATTTGCCTAGAGAAGATCGATCGAACTCTTTGCTAGTGGCAGTTGTTGCCAATTCTTTGTCACTGTTTGAAACCTGGTGTCGTTGCCAGAAGACCTGTATGCGTGTTGGGTTTCGTTTTCTATGAAAATGGAGTCGGGGGATGCTCCCCTTTGATCGAAAAAAAAAGATCGATAAAACTTTCTTCGTTTTCTTTTTTTTGGCGATTCTGTATAGACACACAGAAATCCTCCTTGCCAGTTGCTAGATTGTTCGGATCGAGGAACGGAGCCGGTGATTCCAATGTGAAATTTGTTCTTTTGCAAAACGCCGGATCCAATTGTTTCTTTTTTCTTTTCACTCAAGAGGACTATTAATAGAGACATTTTACGGTGCATCATACTCCTGTAAATAGTGGGTAGTATATAGGTGATCCAATGGTCATTATTGATCCTTGTTTTTTTTCTCTTGAAGATATTTTAGTAATTGGATGTAAGGGTAGATTAGTCCTTTCTTAATAATAATGTTATTAATTTATAACATGGGTAATTGCAGTGATTGGAATCATACGTACTCACAGCTGGAATAGAATCGTACGTACTCACAACTGGAATAGAATTGCCGTATCTGTTCACTAGTAAGCGACACGTGCAACACACGTCGTAACAAATATAAATATTAATACCCATTGTATTATTGGAGATTGTACATTTTCACTATAATTTTAAATATTTTGTTAATTTCAATAACAATCAGGCACACAATGTTGAGACAGTACTATCTAAAATACATCACGCATACTTAAATATTAGAAATATCTTACGCTAAAAATCATTTGTTTGAAACAAATGCTCCAATAAATATTTTCACCCATTGTTTAGATCATACATAGTGTTGTGGATACCCTACCGGTGCAAGGTTCAAATCATGAAAGAGCCATACCTTTACACATTCCAGCAAATGATATCGAAAGAATGAACTTAGTCACATATACCATTACAATAACAGAAATTCAGCAGAAATCACCATTTAACTAATAAACAACAATGCGCCCCACCTAACAAATGCTATTAGAAATCAGGGTAAGCAGCTACTATTTTAGCAAATTAATTAGAATCCATAGTTTCATACAGATTACAGAGGTAAACACACGTCCTAGAAAGACAGTCTCAACAGCATCGACATATTGTCACAACATGAATTCGTCACCACTCCTGACTCCCGAGCATGCGAACAACAGGACCACACAAACCAGAATCTTGCGAAGAGAATTGACAAATCAGTGTTTTAATCTCCAGGAACATATAGAACTTTCCCCACCAAGCAGCGGTGCACATAAAATTCAATATGTAGTTCCAATGTGGACAAGCTTCATAACATCTGGAACAACCCCTTGGCCTTGCTTTCGTGATCGAGTGATGAAAAGATATTGTCAACTTTTTTAAGGTTGTTGCCCAACTGAATAACCGTTGCACAAAATCACGTTCATGTTCAGTTCCTGATAATTCACTAATTTCTACTTCTTGGAGGCGATCGAGCACAAGTTTATCAGTTTTACAGTGTGTTGGCTGATCACAAATGCAACTCGATGGGCATGGAGTCTGTGCCTGAAGTGAGTAGCATATCAACTTTGTAAGATTAACCAATACATTTCATGGCGAAAAAGAGATGAATGATAAATTATCAGACTGCCTGAGTACTTCGACATGCATCAGCACAATTTACAAAAGAACACCGGAAAATAGTTTGAAGCTAGGATACTACAGAAAATATGTTTGTTCTGTAAAAGAGCTGGTACGACAAACACTATTATAGAAGTCACATAAATTCTTAAGCATGATAATGTTCAGCTCTACCTTTGGACTTCACTGTCAATGAAACCTCTTAAAAAAGATATCGTAACTAATAAAATTTTCTCCAAGTACTTACTCTAACTGTGTCATCAAGATTGAGCCTGCCAGGCAATAAAGCACCATATATCCTCACATACATTAGAAAATAGTACGTCACTTTGCTAAACTTGAAGATGAAAGTATTAGCACTTACATGAGCCATAGAATTTCCATGGTTAAAGTTTGAAGACAAGGTATTAGTATTAAACCAACACCTAGAGTAGAGCAACTGGCAATCAAGTCTAGGTATGCCTGAAAGTGCAAGTGCGTATTGTTTTTATGTCACTAACCTGATAACTCAAGCATTATAAGTGCTTTACAAAGATATAAACAAATTAAGGATAGTTTTAAGTGTCAGCGTTCTTACACCAGTGCACACTTCCAGAATGTGGAATGAGCTGGCGCCAAAGCAATGTCCGTGTGACATCACAGCCAGGGGCAAGCATGTAAGTCAGGGAGCCTTGTCATGTCTTCTATCAAGTATCGATCGTTGCCTATATCCTACAAAACTACTATGCTGAGGACATGCATTTGGAAAAATCAACTGCTGAACTGGTGCTTTTCCCGGGTAAAGAAACATATATCCAGTTTTAAAGGTTTTTTCCTTCCAACATAATGAAAGGTAATATGATTTCGAGTGCTTTTGAACATGTATTCACCATTCTGAACAAACATTGGCAAGATGTTACCCCAAGGTGCCCAAATAATAAGTAAAGCATGACTAACAAACATGGTACGATGGCACTAACAAGTTGGGAAGTGCACACAAAATTAAAATGATGTGCATGTGTGCAGTAAGGGAAAAAGGATTCAGCAGGTCACAATTTCTGAAAAATAAACAGCCCGGAAAAACCATTGGAAAATCATTCTTTTGCGGAGAAGAAAATACATGTTCATCCTAGTGAAGCACTACTAATTAATAAATACTACAAAATCAATAGCTGATAATAATGTAGTAATAATGAACTAACGATTTTCATTTAGCGCATGAACATTGAATTTATTTATTGTATTGAAGGGAGGATATTTCCTTTGACGAGAGGAATAACTAACATATGCAAACTTCTTATGCAAATAAGTATATATTAAAACACTAATAACACTGTATAGAACAACCTGAAAGACATTGAGCTCCACATCGCCGAGAGCTCCATCCCTGTCGTGGTAAAAAGATATAAAAAAGATGCAGAAGATAAACATTGTTTAATTAAATATTTCCATGGACAAATCACCAACATTATATAGAAGGTAACATACTTAATATACTGATATATGGGATAAAATGAAACCATACTTCCCATAATAGTTTATGAGATGATGGGCAATGGCGACAACTTAATGTATGCGTTGCCCGATGCACACAAAACAGTCCAAAATACTTTTGAAGAAGTTGTACTCATGTTGTCTTGTACAAACGCAGTAACACATAAGAACATTTAGGCTTGTATAAAAAAACAGTTCAGAATTTAGGCTTCAAAGATTACAAGGAACCGAGGAAGGCATACCATTGAGCTGCATTGCATGTCTTCAATGTTCAGATCTTATACACGCCATGCTTCTGCTATCCAATCCCTAGCTGATCGTGGCTTCAGAAAACCTGAAATTGGATATCACATTTCTTTCAGCAATGGATGAAACTGCATTCATCTGAATGTATATACATCTCAAATTTCATAGAACAGTTTCACTCTTAATGGGAGAAGCAATCTCAGAAGGGGATGCAGGGTGGCCAGGTGAGATGCAGCGTGTCAATTGTCGGGAGGGGGTGCAGAGGCCTTCCTACAAGACAATAAGGCCATCAAGCAAAAAATGCAATTAGTTACTGTTGGTCATCTATTACTCATGCTAGCTTATCTCCTGGGAAAAAGTACTACAAAATCTCCAAGTGTTCATAGACGCAACCAGACTTCAGTTATCCGTTGACACATAGCGAGTACTCCTAAAGCAGTAAAACAAAAATTACCTATTTGGGTTGATCGTTTGCGAAACTTGGAAAAGAAAAGCGTAAAAAAACAAGAGCTCCAAAGGCACAAAAAAGAAAATCATAAAACTACATGACAGCACAACAGATGAAAGACCCAGATTTTTTTTACAGATACACCACAGACAATGATGGGCATCTGCAGAACATATTCTGGGCAGACGCCCAATCTCGCTTGGACTATGTTGCATTTGGTGGTGTGGTGGTGTTTGATAGCACATACCGGTCAAACAAATATAGGTTGCCGTTTGTTCCATTTGTGGGGCTGAACTATCACCGCAGCACGGTCGTGTTTGGGGTTGGTCTTGTATCCGGCGATTTCAGAATAAGCCTCGGTCCAATTTCAGAATAAGCCTTGGTACAGACACAGCTAGCAAGTGGCGGTGCCTGGGCCAGAGACGATGGAGAAGCTAGCTTACGAAATCGAGGAAAGAAATGGGGGCCAATGGATCGATGGGTCGGATGCGAGTACCTGCATCAGCCACGACAGATCTGTACGACACTGGTCGGCGTGTAGGGCCTTGACGGTGACGGGGCATGCTAGCAATGTCTCGCCTTAGTCCTCCCCCTCGGCGACCCACTCCACATCCTGCAGCTTAGGAGGGGAACACGAACGGCGGGGACATTTAGCCGCCGACCACAGCCGCCGACCAGAAAAACAACTTGTATCATGATTCCTCACCATAATAATAACAATGATTTCAGCTTCTATAGATGTGCAATTTCAACGACTACAAACCCAAATTACAGACCCAAATATTATCCAATGCGGCAAATCAAATCAATCGACAAGTGAGATCTGTACGAAGCTAGTACCTTAGTGGAACTCCAACTCGGCGGCGCGCAGGGCCGTCACGGCGATGGGGCATGCCGCTGCAGCAACGTCTCGCCTTCGTCCCCCTCCCCCCTCCCCCTCAGCCACCAGCTCCAGAACACGAATGGCAGGGCCATCTCGCCGACGATGACTGTGACACCATGGGGGCAACGCCGCAGCGCCCGCTCATCTGGCCGAAGGCGGGGCACCAAACCCTAGCGCCCGCACTGACTGCGCGAAGGGCCGTCACGGCGACCGGGGCTCGTCATCGTCCTCTCGCCCTACCGCGGCCAGCGTTCGATTGGGATTTTTTTTCTCATTCGAGGTCTGCCTAAACAGTCGGCCTCATTTCCCTCAGGGAGCAGACGGCGATGGCTAATGAAAATAAAAAGATGAATACGTGAAATTCCACAAATGCCCTTCAATCGTTTTCTGAGGAAACCAGCCCGCGTTTTTGGTAAACAGCGAACTACCGAAACTACCCCTGATAAGAAAATATACTATCGAAAATCTGTGGTAGTATTTCCATATCTGAACCGTCCAAACGAAAATATGAACGGTCAATATTGATCTGATGCACCGTAAAAGGTCTCTAATAATAATCGCTACTATACACGCTGAACCACAAAATAAACTTGAAACCAGGCCACGACAGCTGCGGCAACTCCATCCCTCCCTTCCCTTGTCTAAGGCCCTGTTTGGTTCAGCTTTTATCGATAGATTCCGCTGCCGCGCAGCAGAATCTGAACCAAAGGGCGAATCCAACAGATTCCGATTCCAGAAATCCGTTGCCAAAATCTGAACCAAAAGCGGAAGCAGCCCGGGACGTGCTTTCCAAAATCTGATTCCATTGCGGGCCAAAATCTGAAAAAGCTGCATCAGCTGGTTTACCAAATGACCTACATCCTTTTCACATCAGATTTTCCACAGCAGATTTTCCACAATTGCTTTTAGAAATCCACAGCCGAACCAAACAGGGCCTAAGCCGCATGTCGTGAGGTATTCACGGCTTAGTTCCAGCACTCGACGGCAACTCGCTGACGCGCTTCCCATTCCCGTCCAGCTCGACTCCAGCTCGGTCCCGAGTCCCGACCCTTGATTGGGCTCGACACTACCTAGCTCACCACGACAATGGCGGAGCTGTGCGATCTTCCTGCTGCTGTTGTAGCGTCATCCGAGGAAAGTTCATATGTGATCAAGATAGACGGATACTCAAGAATCAAAGGGCAAATTCAGCATGGCAACTACGTGAAATCTACCCCTTTCACTGTTGGAGGTAACGACTGGGTTGTGGAGTACTACCCAAACGGCTCCGACACCGAAAAGTATGAAGCCGGCATATCCGTTTTTCTAGCTCTTGCCCCCGCTGGTTCCAAGGATGTGAAGGCCAAATTTAGATTCAGTCTGCTTGACAGGGAAGGCGAACCGGTGGCATCGAAAAGCAAGAACACGTCCGAACACATCTTCAATAGCAAACGTTCAAGCAGGGGTTTTAGTAGTTTTATCAAGAAGGCTGATCTTGAGGGAGCGGCGTATCTAAAGCACGACAGTTTCAGCATCAGGTGTGATGTTACCGTCGTGAAGTATATCCATAGAGGTAATCGGGTTATTGCGATTCCTCCAAGCAACTTGCATCAGCATCTCGGTGACCTCCTCCTAGAGAGCAAAGATGGAGCGGACGTGACCTTTCATGTCGGCGAGGTGAGTTTCTTGGCTCATAGGTCCATACTCGCCGCTCGGTCATCCATCTTTAGAGCGGAGCTCTTTGGCGCCATGAAGGAGAAAGGCGGTAGTCCAATTGAAATCAGTGATATGGAAAGTGATGTATTCAAATCATTGCTCCACTTCATATACACCGACTCACTGCCCGTTCCTGAGACAAGTAGTGGGGGTGAAACACGGAGAGACGCGGTGATGGCTAGCCATCTACTTGTTGCAGCTGACAGGTACAACATTGAGAGACTGAAGCTGATATGTGAAGAGAAGTTGTGCAACCTCATCGACTCCAATATCGTGGCGACCACTTTGGCTCTAGCTGAGCAGCACGGCTCTTATAGAGTCAAAGATGCTTGCTTTGAGTTCCTTGTTTCTCCTTCCAATTTGGAGGCGATGATGGCAAGTGATGGTTACAAGCATCTGAAGAATAGCTTCCCGTCTGTTCTCAGAGAGCTGGCTGCTAGCTTCCTGCCGGCCGAGCTGAAAGCGGTCAAAGATATTATCATGACAATTTAGTAGTGTGGCTCATGATCATTGCATCTAATCCAATAATTTGGTATCTACGTTCTTACCTATTTCATTGTACGGTACTATGGTCTATGGTTGCATGTATGTCTCAGGGGCTAAGGGCAAAACAATGTATCTATATTCATATTCATTTTGCAATCAGAATGCGAAGTGGTAGGTGATACTTGTGTCTTGTATTTGATGGGATGCATCATGCATGACTAGTATCGAACTGGATTTGTTGTGTAGTTTTTGTTACGGTTTTGTAAGGACTTAAAGCTTGTGCAGTTTCTGCTCCACGTGTAGCCAAGTTTTTGATGGACTGAAGTACTCACCTACCTTGCTTAACAAAGATATGAGTAGCTTTGTGATTCCAAGTTTGTATACGGAAAAAGCTTTGATTTTTTTCTAGAAAAAATAGGTGGGGCTTCCCCGGCTCCATTACTTAGAAAAAAGCCCGTGAAAAAGGTCCATATTGGTTTTGTAACAAAGGAAAGCGTTGAGGCGGGTCTAAAAAGTGCAAAGGGAATAAGGCAAAATGTGGAGTACAGGTGTACAACTACATTAGGTTACACACTTTAAGACTTTCATGTCAGGCGCGCTGCAGCCATCGACCAACAAGGGGATTCATCAGACGGGGCTCTCTGTTGCAGCTTCAGTGCAGGCTACATGCTTAAGGGTGGATGTGTGAGAAGAATCGATCCACTTGCTCCATTATATGATCCTGGAAAATAAGCCGTCATTTTTGGACTGTTCTTAAGACGAGTCACCATATGTGTTTCAGCGACAGGCAATGGACACCACCAAAACTAGGTTGTGTATGTGCTATCACAAAGTCCAGAGTGTAGAAAATATGAGATAACTGAATATTATATTGTATTGATCTGACCCGTGTAGGGGTATATATAGAGGTACAATGAAGGAAGAGAGACTTGGAGTAAAGGACAAGTTAACCTATCCTATCTCTATCTCTTATCTCTATCTTAAACATAAATATACTTCTAACATTCCCCCTCAGTCGTAGCGGGAGTGAAGCGGACGATTACGACTGAATTTAAAGTCTTGCTCTTTTGTCGTCTTCTCCGCTGCGCCATCATCAACTGCATCTCTGATGGGTCGGCAGTTAGGGCGGTGACTGTGTCCCCTTCTGGTGCCTTCCTGCCTTCTCCTCTATTCCCTCCCGCAGTCACAGCGGGAGTGTCGTGGACGCAAGTGACGAGGCGGACGCTGTTGACTGGAGTTGTTGCCGATGAGTTGCTGTAGACGTAGCCATTAATGTCGAGGTAGCCGATCATGATGATGTAGCCGTGGTCGAGGTAGTCATGGTCGATGATGTGGTCGTCGTGGATGATGAAGCCGCACAAAGCCGGAGGCGCAAAAAAAATGCGCTATGACGGAGCTGCAGACGTGGACGATGCACCTTGCGGATGTCAGAGGGTGCCGTCGGCGATGAGTCCACCGATTTTGCCAAGACCGGAGGAAGCCCATCGAGCACACATCGATTTTGCCAGAACCGTGTGGCCGTGTAGGGTCGTCACTGTAGTGACGCCGTGTCGATGCAGTCGTGTCGTCGTGGATGACGCGGAAGATGCCGTTGTCGTGACGCGGTCATTGCCGTCGTCGAGGTCGCGCCTTGCAGAAAAGTCTGTCAGAGGACGCTAAATGTCCATCTTGTGAACGAGGCGGCGGCGACGGTGTGTTGACGATGATGCTGGTGAAGACCATGTTGATGGAGACCTTGGCGATGAAGTGTCGGCTATGGCGTTGCAACCGCGTGTTGACGATGATGTCGCTTGAAGGCGCCCCTCACGGCAACGATGTGTCGATGCCGTGTCGCGCCGGAGAAGTCGATGAAAACTTGCATCTCTCTCCACACCGGCAGCTCGATGATGTGGCGTGGGTCGGTGTAGATCGCTCGGCGAAGATAGCTTGGTGCAGCGGTTATGGACGTGGCTCGAAGATTGTGGTGGGCGACGGTGCAGGTTTGCCGGCTTGATGCAGATGTAGTGTAGGACGACGTCGATGCAGGATTGCTAGGTGAGCCGTCCACTGAACCTTGACGTAGTCTTGGGCTCTTGGCCACACGTACGTGTAGAACCCACCTTGACCGATCAGTACCTGCATACATGCGTCTGAGATAACATGCGAGTTAAGTCCCTCACGTGATCGGAACGCCCGTCGCCGCGTCCGCGTGTGCAGCCACCTGCGTCGCTGGGCGCTCGCAGCCGCCGTACCGAGCGAGCCATGCAGGACATGGTGCTTGTCGATGCAGATTGCGTTGGGAGGTGTCGGGCCGATGCGTGGCTCGAAGTCAAGGGGGGGCGTCGCTCGTGGCCAGCCCTCCTGGCATGCGCTCGTCCTCGCGTGCGCGCGTATGAGCACGCCCGTCGCCGCATCAGCGTGTGCGGCCGCCTGCCCATCGCTGGCCGGAGCTTAAGGTCGGTGCAGATGTACCCTTGATGCCGAATACGCTGTGTCCGCCGCATGTGGATGTAGTTGATGAAGCTGGTTAGATCAGATCGGAGCGCCCCGCTCCGGAGTTGGCTCGTTGTGCAACGAGAGGATGATCGATTTGCCCGACCTGTCTCTTGGCAGCGGCGGTCACGTGCGAGCGCTGCCGCCTGCACCGTTTCTGTTGGATTTTCTTCACCGGAATTTGAGGGTTGGCGAGTTTATTTGGTTGCTAAAAATATGATCTAAGAAAATTTCAGAAATTGGCGAATTTATCTAAACTAAGAAATTGATCTAATCTACGGAACCGATATGATCAGTGATCGATCGGGTGCCGCGCCCCCGGGAAGGGAAGATTAATCTCCCCGAGGGCGGCGCGCTGCGGAAGTGGAGGAAGGTCCTAGGATCGGCGTCGTTGGACAAACCGCTCTAATACCATGTAGAAAATATGAGATAGCTGAATATTATGTTGTATTGATCTGACCCGTGTAGAGGTATATATAGAGGTACAATGAAGGGAGAGAGACTTGGAGTAGAGGACAAGTTAACATATCCTATCTCTATCTCTTATCTTTATCTTAAACATAAATATACTTCTAACACAGAGAACAGCGGCACGGACAACAACGAGAGCATCTAGTATTGCAACCCAAAGTGAGGAGACAACCTCAAAACTGCTACCCAGTTCTCTACCAAAGAACACACAATCCCCAGGCTTTCTCATGTTTCACTTCTTAAGGTTATCTCTCATGGTTTTGTTATAAGAGACAGACCACCAAAAGATGTAAATCCTAGGTGCCACTTGCGGTTTCCACACGGCTTTGATAAAGACATGACTCAAACCCTACATATATAAAGAGCTGACATTCTCCAGCCTTCACTCTCTGTTGTTTCTTCGCTGGCTTTTTGACGATGAAAACTCCCCTGATCCAGAGAAAAACTAGTTCTATTCTTGTAAAACAATATGGGGCATCAATATCAACCCAGCTTTGTAACTGTGCACTTTATATTTGCTTTTCTCCTTAATATATAGACAACACAATTGCCAAATCCTCAAAAAATAATAAACACCAAAACCATCCCAAATATGTTTGATGGTCTTGTTGTGTGCCCTACATATGCAACACATAATAGCACTAAACAGATAGAGGGAAAGGTCCAAACCACATATCTTCTTAGAATCTGAAAGTGCAAGTTATCGAGCAGAGAAGGGTGAATGGGAGATTTTAACAAATTCTTTGAAAGAACCAAATTCTTCGAAGAAGCGGAAGCAACACGGTATGAAGAAATACAAGACAGAAGTAACTCTACGCTATTCATGCAAGTCAATGAGAGGACAAAGTCATCAGAACAGAACTAAGCATGCATAAAAGATAGCAGTACAAACGCACTTAAGTACTGCAAGACTGAAGACAAAATAGAGCATACCTAGAACTGACGAAATATGAAAGTCTTCAGAGAAAGAGAGACAAAGTCTTCAATACGGGATTACAGAAAGTAAATGGGTGAAGAAATTGAAACCTGATTGCTCGATGAAGTAATGGATTTGTTCGACTAGCTTCAGTTGTTGTGACAACTCTATATCTGATTGGAGAGGCTTGAGATTATACTCAGAAGACACTTAGTCTTCACCTTATTCTCCTTGAGATAAGATCACTTATAACCTGCCCAATCACTCATGATAAGTCTTCAAGGTAGACTCTCGAAACCTTCATGCACTCGTTCTATGGCACTCCACAATTTCTTCTTGGAAGCCCAGAACATGATGACTAACTATCTAAAAAATCACAGTCTTCAAAGGTAACAAGTCAAAACACATTCTTCCGTGATGCTCATCACTTTGGCTTTGGATTTTGGGTTTTTCCTCTCTTGCGATTCTCTCAGATCCTTCTGTGAGAGGGTTGCTTTAGATGATACTTGTCATGTAATAACTCAGAGTAGCCAATCAACAAATGGTGGTCGGGATGGCTATTTATAGCCTGGGGGCACCCCATGGTGAAATGACCAATAAGCCCTTTGGAGGTGACCGCTATCAAGATAAGGATTCACTCGACAGCTAAAACTATCTCAGCAACGGTCGTCTTTCAAATTCCTCACGGTAGGAGAATTGCACTGACAATTTCCTAACTATTCAGTCAGACCAAATTTATCAGCGTCCTAAAGAACGCGTCTCTGACGCTAAAGAACTCGACTGCACTGCAAGAGATTTTCAAAGTCTTCACTCAAAGAAATAGATAGGTTGAGCATCACTTCAGAAATACATCTATGTATCACCTAGACCCCCTTAAACCATATGGTGTTCCCTGTGACTCAAATAAGAAGAAATGAACTATAGAAAAAGACAAAGTCTTCATGCTCTAGTTCTTGAGGCAATTTTTTCAAAGGGCGCACCAATTTTTTCAATGTAAAACATACATTTTTAGCGGGCGTCTTTAACGGTTAAATCAAATCTTCAGGGACTATTCTCCTATGTATCCTCACAAATAGATTAGTCCATTAACCCATTTGTCGTCAATACTCCAAAACCACAAGGGGAGGGGGTAGTAGATGTATTTATA